CTAGGGTACAATAAGCAATCAAATCATACTAGGAAACAATAAAAATCGTTAGGATACAAGCAACAAGGTTACAGTCCTACAGTCACAAGTGGGAGGGGACGGGTGATAAGGAGTGATGAGAAGATTAATAGTAATAGTAATGCAGACTTTGTCAATAGTTGGACAGGGTCGAGGGAATTATTTGTTTAGCAGAGTGATGGCCTTTGGGGGAAAAACTGTCCTTGTGTCTAGTAAAAAAAAAAACCCTCTCACTTTAATCAAGTGGAGTCGAGGGTCTTTCTTTCCTAAACATCTAAACTGAGGCGGGTCTGACAGTAGCTCACCTTCAGCTGTCAGTTCCATCGTGCAATAGGGAGGCCCGCGGAGAATCACTTCTTGCAGAATAATGGCAAAACTAAACACGTCTCCTTGCAAAGTGCCTTTGGGGTTGACCTCAGGCTCCCTCAGTTTAGATGTTTAGGAAAGAAAGACCCAAGTGGAGTCGAGGGTCTTTCTTTACTAAGCACCTAACCAGTCAGCAATTGGTTGCAGGAAGATAATTGTTCTTTTTAGCCTGGCTCTTGCAATACAGATTAAAATGTTGGATAGCTGCTCATTATAGGTTACGTTTTCCCAACGTTGCCAATTTGAAAGAGTTCCATCCTTGTTTTGAGTACTGTTGCTTCCCTGCAAAGCATTCTGGGATTGAAAGTTATTCGTGCATTTGCTCATTTGAACTTTTTAGGTTTTTATTGGTTTTTTTTTCTGGTTTCTTTTCTAAGGGGATTTAAGGCCGCTGAAAATATGAGGATAATAAAGATACTTTCCTTTATCTCTCAGTCCTTCCTCCCTCGCCCTTCCCCTTTTCTCCTCTCTTTCCTTCCTTCCTTCCTCCCTTCCTCTCTCCCTCTGTCTTCCGTTCCCTTCTCTCCTCCGTTCCCTTCTTTCCTTTCTTCTTTCTTTCGTTCTTTGCTTCTTCCCTCCCTTATCCCTCCTCTTTTCTTCCCTCTCTCCCTCTTCCGTTCCCTTCTCTCCCCCTTTTCCTTCTTTCCTTTTTTTCCCTCCTTGCTTCTTCCCTCCTTTTTCCCTTCCCTCCTTCCTTCCTTTCCTTCTTTCCTCTTTTCCGTCCCCTCCTTTGATGTTTTTCAAGCAGAAAAGTCATCTAAATGGTCGTCTGATCTATTTCTAGAGAAGTACTAGCAGAGGTTGGGAAGGAGAGGGAGAGGGAGGGAGGGGGAAGGAGAGGGAGGGGGGGGGGGGGGGGGGGGAAGGAGAGAGAAGGAGGGAGAGAGAGGGAGAAGGGGAGGGAGAGAGAGGGAGAAAGGGAGAGAGGGAGAGAGGGGGTTGGGAAGGAGAGGGAGAGGGAGGGAGAGGGAAGGAGGGAGGGGGTGAGGGAGGGAGAGGGAAGGAGAGAGAGGGAGAGAAGGAGAGAGAAGGAGGGAGAGAGAGGGAGGGAGAGAGGGAGGGGAGGGAGAGAGATGATTGGGAAGAAAAGAGAGAGAAGGAGGAAGAAAGGTAGAGGGAGAGAGAGGTAGGGGCGAGAGAGAGATGGAGGAAGGAAGAGAAAGAGAGAGAGAGAGAGAGAGAGATACCTTCTGCAGAGGCCGGATCCTGGGAGATGCCTTGGGCTGCCATTAGCTCACCGTAGCCGTAATCGGTGATTTTCAACACAAACCGTCCATCCACCACACAGTTGCGAGATTTCAGGCGTCCATGGCTAATGTCCAGGTTGTGTAAGTATTTCATGCCCTGGAAAAGAAAAAGAAAAACTTTGGGCATTTTCCGCTTTGGCCAACAGAAGAAACACGGAAGAAGAAAAATAAAATCAGCCTTCAGAAATCAGCCCACAAGATGGCGGCGGGATTTTTTACCTCAACTGGACCAGGGCAAACTGGTTTTTAAAGAGGGACACGGTCATCCTTTTACAGAGTGGACGGTCGGGGATGCCACTCAGTGGTGCGTTGTCCTAAAGGTGAAGCTCTTGCCTCACAATCAGGAGGCTGAAAGTTCAATCCTAGGTAGAGGCAGATATGAGAATATATCTTCTGGAGGAAAAACTCCACATTAGTGACAGGAAGGGCATCTGGCCACTAAAACGCTCTGCTAGCTCCGTTCAGTTGCCCAGACTCCACACCCGCAATGGATTGAAAGAGGATGATGGGTTATGCTGCAAAATGAGGACGGGGGCTAAAGGATTGGCAGGGATAAGACAAAATTTAAATGTTTGGCTCCAGAACCATCCAGTGTCAACCAAAATAAGATGGCAGCCATGGTTGCATTGGACACTTTTATGGACACACCTTTCGTTTAAATTCAGAGTTATATTTACATTTGATGCATTAAACACCGTTACTATGATGGATTCTGATGGACATTTCCTCGGCTGAAAGAAATAACAGATAATCAGAGTTGGAAGGGGCCTTGTAGGTCATCTAGTCCAACCCCACCCAAGCAGGAGACCCTACACCATTTCTGACAAATGGCAGCCCAGTCTCCTCTTGAAAGCTTCCAAGGATGAAGCTCCCACAACTTCTGGAAACTGTTCCATGGGTTGATTGTTCTCACTGTCAGAAACTTTCTCCTTATTTCCAGGTTAAATCTCTCCTGGTTCAGTTTCCATCCATTATTCCTTGTCTCGCTTTAGAAAATAGCTTGACCCCTTCCTCCTCCCTGTGGCAGCCCCTCAAATATTGGAAGACCGCTATCATGTCTCCCCTGGTCCTTCTCTTCCCTAGACTAGCCAGGCCCAGTTCCTGCAACCGTTCGTTGTATGTTTTAGCCTCCAGTCCCCTAAAATCACCCTGGTTGCTCTTCTCTGCACTTTTTCTAGAGTCTCAATATCTTTTTTTATAGTGTGGTGACCAAAACTGCATGCAGTACTCTAGGTGTGGTCTTACTAAGGCTTTATAGAGTGGTATTAACACCTCCCTTGATGTTGATTGTATCCCTCTGTTAATACAACTTAGGATTGCATTGGCGTTTTTGGCTGCTGCTGCACATGGCTGGCTCCTATTTAGCTGGTTGTCCACTAAGACTCCAAGTTCCCTCTCACAGTTCCTGCTACTAAGCCTGGTTTCACCCAGTCTATACGTGTCCTTTGGGTTTTTCTTGCCTAAGTGTAGGACTTTACTTTCCTCCACGTTGAATTTCATTTTGTTCGATAGAGCCCAGGGTTCAAGTCTGTCAAGATCCACCTGGATCTTGAGCCTATCTTCTTGGGTGTTGGCTATTCCTGCCAGCTTAGTATCATCTGCAAATCTGGTAAGTTCCCCTTCTATTCCCTCATCTAAGACATTAATAAAGATACTGAAGAGTCCTGGCTGGGCCTAAGACGGAACCTTGTGGCACCCCACCGCTTACTTCCCTCCACGTAGACTTAGACCCACTAAGGACTACTCATTGAAGTTGCATCCAAGAATTTTAGGGGCCTTTTGCAAGCTGGAAAGCTGCTTTAAGCAGGACGGTTGGGCATCCATAAATGACTTGACCATGTCTAACTCTTTGGGATTAGAGGTAGGGTCTCACTCAAGAGTTGTCTTCCCTTAACAACTACCACAAAAATATAAAATCAGGTCAGTCACAACCATTGCGACTTACAACCATTAAAGGGCAGGCTCAGTTACAGTCATAACTTGAGGACTACCCAACATCTCGTTTCCTTGAGGATTACTTATCATATCTGAAGGACACACAGCACTGAATTTTACATCTGGGTGAAACAGACTTTCACTCTTTATAAGAGTTGGAAGGGACCTTGGAGGTCTTCTAGTCCAACCCCCTGCTCAGGCAGGATAACCTCTACCACCCCATGCAAATACTTGTCCAATTTCTTTTTAAACCCTCCAATGATGAAGTACCCACAACTTCTGGTGGCAAGTAGTTCCACTGATTAGTTGTCCTCACTTTCAGGGAATTTCTCCTTAGTTTTAGGTTGCTTTTCTCCTTGATTAGTTTCCATCCGTTGCTTCTTGTCCTGCCTTTCAGGTGCTTTGGAGAATAGCTTGACTGCCTCTTCTTTGGGGCAGCCCCTGAGATATTGGAAGACTGCTATCATGTCTCTCCTAGGCCTTCTTTTCATTAGACTAGATATAACCAATTTCTGCAACCGTTCTTCATCTGTTTTAGTTTCCAATCCCCTAATCCTCCCTGTTGCTCTTCTCTGCACTCTTTCCAGAGTCTCCACCTCTTTTTTGACATCGTGGTGACCAAAACTGGATGCCCTATTCCAAGTGTGGCCTTACCAGGGCCTTATAAAGTGGGATTAACACTTCACATGATCTTGATTCTATCCCTCTGTTTATGCAGCCTAGAATTGTGTTGGCTTTTTGGGCAGCTGCCGCACACGGCTGACTCATATTTCAATGATTGTCCACTAGGACTTTGAGATCCCTTTCACGGTTACTACTATTGAGCAAAGTAGCACCTGTATTGTACCTGTGCATTTTGGGTTTTTTGCATAATGTAGAACCTTATGGTAGCAGCACGTTAAGAAATCAGAGGGAGACTTACTTTAATTAAATCCAACAAAAGGGATGATTTAAACATCCAGTCCAGCTTTATGTCCATGTTTTGTAGCAAGTCCTGGAGGCTTCCCCTGGAACAGAAGTCCATCACAACCGCGGAGAGTCCCGTGTCGGATAAAAGACCTAGAAATGGGTTCACATTTTCATGGTGTAACTCCCTCATCTGCAGACAAATCAAAAAAAAAAGGAGGACAGCCGCGATGAGGAGGTTCTCGAGGAGCCTGTGCCAAGTGCGCGTGCACGTGTAGGGTTGCTCGTAGGAAAGAGCAGCTGCAGCGGCACGGGCGACTCGGGAGTAAGGCTGCAAGGTAACGGCCCCTCCTTCAAGAGGGCAAAAGCCAGCTGTGAAAGGAACATACTTTGCAGAAGGCAAAGACGTTTTGAAACTCCAGCCTCGGGAACATTCTAGTATCCTGAGTTTATATTTGAAGATTCTTGTATTGCAAATTATTTCTTGTCTGTTATCTTTTGGCAAGTCTCGCACAGTTTGGCAAGGCTTGTGCTTATCCCAGTTAATTATTTTGCAGAAGCATTAAAAGGTTTGGATTGTGTTTGATTTGTTGAAAAAGGGCGTGAGTCAGAACACCTATCTACGTACAGTACCTTGATCAGCACATAGGTTGCCCGTTGCTTCCATTCGGTGATCACTTCAGCCTCCAGTTTTTTCAGCCATACCCAGTCACCCTGTCCAAGCAGAGCAAAACTTTTTAAACCAAAGTGCACGTAACTATGGCTAGTCCTTGACTTATGGCCAGAACTTCCTTCAATAAGAAATCATTCATTGTTAAATCGCTTAGGAAGTGATGGTGAACTTTTTGTCGTGGTGTGCCGAAAATGTGCACGTGCGCAATAGTGCCTGTGAGCGTGCTGGCACCCACAATGCAAGGCACCCATCCCCTTGCACATGCGTGTGCAACACCCCTGCCCCGTCCCCTTACCTACGCTGTGCATGAGCGTGCTGATTTTCAAATGGCTTGTTTGAGGCCTTTCACCCTTGGAAGCTCGAGGGAAGCCTCTGCAGCCTTGGGAGGCTGAAAAATGGGCCTCCCAGAAATAACCGGAAATACCAGAAGTGCCCGTTTTCAGCCTCCGGAGGGCCTGTGGAGCTCGGGTGAGGCAGTTTTTACCCTCCCGGAGGCTTGAGGGAAGCCTCCGGAACCTCGGGAGGCTGAAAATGAGCCCATTTCAGCACTTCCGGAAATTTTTGGCCCACTACAGGAACGTTTGGTTGGGGTTTGCATACCCACACAAGTGTCTCTGCATGCCACCTGTGGCACACGTGCCATAGGTTTGCCATCACAGAACTAAGGTGTCAGGATTCCAGCAATCGCCCTAATTAAATCATGATTCTCGAGCCAAACTTCAAAAAAAGTTCAGAGGGTTTATTAGAGGTGACATCCTGGCACTGCTCTGTAAGAAGCCAACTCTGGCAAATGTAATTTATAGTCCCCTGTGACCCTGTTTTCCCTCCTCCTCCCTGGGTGTGTCATAAATCAGATTCTCCAATTGACCCCGTTCATAGGCTGGATGTCATCAATCATGTTCTCCAATTAAATATACTCGTGGGTAAAAGCTCCGGTATTTTAGTTACAGTCTTTTAAAGATAAAGAGTTGGAATGTACTTTCGCTTCCAAACTGCTGCACTGCTCTTCCAGGTTTCCTTCCTCACCCCCCCACCCCTTTTTTTAAAATGGCAACTACTAAAACAGGCAGAGGAATGTTTCATGAGTTGACATTAGGGAGTGGTGCCCGATTTTACAATCTCTTTCACTGTGGCCATTATGTGCGCTTGTCAAACAGATTTGGTTCTGCCAATCGACTTCGCTCGTCTGAAGATAGATACCTGGGAAGGTCCCCAATGGTGATCACGCGATCCCAGGACTTTGCAACCCTTGTAAATATACGTGGTTACTAATCAATCGAATTGTGATCTTTAGATGGTGAGGACACTATGACAGTTGTAAGGGCGAACACCAGTTGTAAGGCACACTCTTAACTTCGGTCACTTGGATGCTACCAAGATAAACGGCGATTGAGCCCAGACAAATATTTTATTACTATGGCTTTGCAATAAAAGTTTTAGTCGTTAAGGCTCCAGGCTAGACGCCAGGAGACAGTGAGTTCTAGTGTCTCCTTAGGCATGAAAACCAGTTGGGAGACTGTGGCCAATCACCAGGAGATGGTGAGTTCTAGTTTCACTTTTACAGATGAAAGCAAGCTGGGGGACTTTAGGCCAATCACCGGGAGATGGTGAATTCTAGTTCCGCCAGCTGGTTGACCAAGAGACTGTGAGTTCTAGTTCTGCCTTAGCTATGCAAGCCAGCTGGGTGACTTTGGGCCACTCCCTCTCTCTCTCAGTCCACCTCGCAGGGTTATTGTTGTGGGGAAAAGAGAAGGAGGAAGGCGTGCTGGATAGGTTTACCACCCTGAGTTACTTGTAAAAATAATAAAGGTGGGATCTAAATATATAAATCAAATCAAAATACACATTTTTATATGGACGAAATAGGAAGAGTGCTAGGCGTGTTTGCTGCCCTGAGTTATTTATGAAAATTATGAATGTGGAATGTAAATTTTGTTGTGGCCAGCAGAGCTGGTGGCAGACTCGGACAGTGAGGAGGTTGGGGAGAAACATGGGCCAGTCCTGGAGTCTGGAGAAGGCTTTGATGAGGGCTCTGCGTCGGAGGCAGAGATGGGGCCAGGGCCGTCCGACAGTTATCAGCTGCCTTCGGAGTCGGAGATCAGTGGGGCAGAAGAGCAGCTGGAGCCTGTTCCCAGTGTGCACTTGCGCAGAGCTGCCAGAGGAAGGGAATAGTTAAAGAACAAGGGTCGACTCGGGAGTAAAGGCCCAAGTGGATGGGGAATGGCCCCTCCCAGAGGGAATAAAGAGGAGTGGGGGGGGGAGTGGTGGTTGCAGGAGACAATTAGCTCTATTCATTAGGGTGAAGATCTGTTCCTGACTTCTTGCCAAATAATTGCTGCTACAGTGTGGCGTTTGGAAGCTACTGGCCTGGCAACTCTCCAAGCCTGATAAAGGTCTGTAGTTGTGAACTCTCTTAACAGACTGTTAGCCGGGACTTTGCTGGAGAGGAATTCACTTTAATCTAAATAAAAGGGGTTTTATCAGGACGAGGAGTCGGCTTCATGATCTTGGGAAGCCTAGATCAGAACAAATTAATAATAAATATAATATAATATAATATAATATAATATAATATAATATAATATAA